TGTCTTATCTTCTGTTGTGCGTTTTGGTTCAGAATTTTGTGTTTAAGGCATAAACGAAATAAAATGATGAACATAGGATGTGAATGATTCTGTTAATGATGTATTTAAGGTCGTAATTAATTGAAGGAAAATATTTTCTTCGTTACCATGTAAGTAAGAGCTCTTATATTGCTGCCAAATACAGTATTGATATGTATATATAAGTTTATATATATATATATATTTATGAATTATTTTTGTATATGTGTGATTTGTAAGAAGAAGTATATCTTTAAACGAGACAAACATTATCCTTAATTGAATATTTGGGAGCGTCCAAGTTTTTGAAGAACGAGACCAAATTGACTTTGTCCTTTATGTTAGGCCCAATGGGGTTTTTCGACGTCTTTTTCCTACTGATCTTTTGGTAACATAGCCTAAAGCCAAAACCCTATAATTTTGGCTTCATCCCTGCAAAATCATTGTGCTATGCTATGAGCCTATGAAGTTTGAGACTAAGTGTAACATCATCAATTACTTATATGGCTCTTTATCTCATATCATTCAAAAACATATTAAGAGAATCCACTTTAAGTTTCCATTAGAGTGAATAATTAAAATTAAAGTTAAAGAAAATGCTTAAAGTGATCATACATCAGATGATAAATATCTTTTGTTAGCCTTAATCTAATTTTTAATCAAACTTTTAAGCATGCAGAGAGTTGGCTATAAGTACTTTGGAAGGAAAGATATTGCTTTTATTGATTCTTTGCTCTCTCTTTTTGCCATGCACTTATATAATTCAGGGCATCCAGTCATAAACTGCTTACTTTTTTTTTTTTATTGCTTCAAACAACTTAAATATCATTGATAAAAATAGAAAGACTCAATTACAATAGTCATACAGACAATCAGTCATTTGAACCTATACTCAGATCCAAACAAGTATCCAATACAAATTTTCATCGAGTACAAAAGATAATCACGACTACAGTACACCTCCTATTAATGGGGTACAAAAAATAATCCCGGCTATGCCGCATGTTCAACAGAGCCAAAATACAGCAAAGTTCCATTATCCTTTTTTATCTTTTTGAACTTTACCAATGTGGAAATAATTTACTGTGATATTTTGCCAATATCTAACTGGTGGACCATGTCGGCTTAGATTAAAATAATCAACACAGTCAGAATTCAGATCACGTTGAAGAAAGTTGGAGAACAATTGTTTCTGGCCCTTTATTAGCATTCAAGCAAGCTGTACACAAACAAATATTTCTGTCTCAAACGAATATTTAAGCTTTATTATAAGATTAAAATGCCCCACAATACTTTATTTGCCGGGAAAATAATTGAGAAGTTGCATGATATATATGGTGAAGGCTCCACCACCATAACACTGCAAAATCACATGACCTGGTTACCAACTATTGGCTGCAACCTTTTGGAACGGCCAACTTATATTACACTTGAAAATTCAAATGATCACCAGCTGAAACAAAAATATACAGAAAATAATATGAACTTGCTTGCTTGCATTTGCCCTCAATTAACAAAAGCACATTGCTTCCTTATTTCACCTGAGTTGCCTGTGAGGACCCCAATGTTTCCCATATTTACCATTGAGGCACCAAAGTCTTTTAGGAAGGTGGCTCCATGAGAGGTGGCTTGCTGTATCACATAGGCTCTTGTCTCAGGGTCATCAAGAAGAGCTGAATCAGATTGGAAAAGTCCTCTTCTTTTGGTGACAAGAGTGTAGTAATCTTCATCAAATGATTTGAAGCTTCCAGGGTCCATTTCAACCAGGGTTTTGGTGTCCCCTGGCTTACATTTTATCTTCAGCTGAGCTAGGTAGTTTTTGTCCAATTTCGGGTCTGTGTCTCCTTTACCGGTGAAATTGTACAAGCGACTCGAAAAGGGTCCGCAGTGAGATGTTCCGATGGTGTGTCCTCCTGAGACAAGAAAAAAAAAAGGAGCTTATAAGTTAGAGTTTCATGAAACAAAAACAACCAGACAAACAAAAAATTATTTATCAAACATAAGATTCGTCACCTGATAGAACCACTAGGTCTTTAACACTCAGACCCTTTGAAGCAAATGTTGCTTTGAGCTGTGTTATGTTTGCAGAAGGAGCTGGTAACCCTCTTAAGGCCTCTGAATTTACTGACACTCTTCCATCTCTACGTCCTGTCGGAACCTCCCAAAATGATCCATGAAGCTGAAATTAAAATATCGATTCAGTAAAGCTACCCGATTATTTAACAACATATGCAGTAAAATTATAGAATTATGTGGATACAAGATTAGTTTCTTTTTACCATTCTTACTGCGTCGCGAGCTACCAATGCCAAGATATCAGCACAAGAAACAACACCAGGACACTTCTTTTCTACTGCAGATTTCACAGCATCTATGACATGGAACCCTCTTAAGCTTTGGTTGGGGAATGCATCTTTCTCAGCGCTATTGCTCGAGGTGGAATTCAACAGCACAGAGCCATCACATCCCTGGAAATCAAAATTTAATGGAGTTAGCTAGGAACAAAATTCAGTCCTTAGCAATTGTTCTGCAACTTCTTTAACAAAACAGTAGAGGAAATATATATATTGTACAATTATATATTGCCTGACCAAGATTTGATGGATTACGTAGGAGGCAAGTATTTAATGCAACCAAACAACATACCCTAACAAAACAATCATGAAAATGCATCCTTAACAAAGGAGCAGCAAGAGTTGGTGCCCGAGATATGTATTGCTGAGTAGTTTTTGCCACAATAGCCTCTATGTTTGGGCATGTTTTGTGGTAAAACCCAACTTTCAACTTCTGCCCATTGCTGAATTCAGAGGCCAACAGAACAAGCAGGAGTTGAAGAAACAAAACTGAGATAAGCTTTTGAGTAGCCATTGCCCTTAGATAGACTTATCGTCGATACGAATTACCAGTGTGATATGGTACGAGACGTGTCATGGGTTTTATAGTTATGTTTAAGCCTTTGAATTTGTCAGAACATATTGTCCTTAAGAGTTGTTTATAGACTTCATATCATCTGAAACGTTAAACGCCGCCTAACGAACGGTTTGACAACTTCCTCTCCAAAAAATAAATAATGACAACTCAAGTTGACAGCTCACAGAAAAAAAAAACAATAATAATACTCATAATAACAAGAAAAAAAAACATAAGACAAACTTTGAGTTATAAGATAAAGAAGAAAAGAAAAAAGGATAAAGCTTCAGACATAAATTAGAGTTAAGAAATATCAAATAAATTGTAATTTATCTAACAGTAAGGCCTAGGAGTAGATGTGGGGTTTTATCACAAAAGAACCTCGGCATTATTAGGAGTGGAACCACTTATTATAAGCTGTAATTTATTTAGTCAAGTTTCTGATATGTAACTTTATATTCTTCAACACTAGTAATGCTTAGACCAATAGGGGAAGTATGAAATTAACGTCATAGTAGTGGGATTGAGGAAACGATTGAAAGAAATAATTAAGAATTCATTTTGAAAACTGGAACATGTTTGGTTGCAGAGTATTAACAGAAAAACAAAAAATTATAATATAATCAGTTTGAGAGATGTTGACCTTATCAATAGCATGCTAATTCATGCAGAGAATTTGGCCTATTACAGATAAGCACAGAATTTTATAACACAATTTGCATTTTACATTGTTTCTCAAGAAGTCAATGAAATTTCCATGGCAATCATCAATCAGATAACATAGTTATGTATTAAACATTGATTACATCTGTATTAACTATTACTTGGCAAATTATTAAAATTGAGAACGTAAACTATGTACGTACGAGAACTGACAACGACGCTTCCTGAAGTATAAAATGCTATTCTACAAAGAGATTGGGTCTAAAATTTCCATTACTGATGGTTGGTCATGATTTAACTAAATTGCTGACATAATTAGCATGCACAATATGACTTTGCAGATTAAGTGTGAAACACAAAGTCAAAGACCCAAGAGTGTTTGACAGGATATAAGATAATGAAATACATAGTCGTTAATGAGCTAGCAATATTCTCAAGGTTATGCCAGAGTGTGCCATAAATTGAAAATGTTTAGTTGAGGTATGGACTCAGTCTCGCACACATTTGGTAACAGGCTGACAGGGAAGACTATGATTCAAAAACACATGCTCATACAAAATTGAATTGTCATTAAAGAAACCAATATAAACAAAGTGGCTAATTATATGGTTGGTCTGCTCCAGCCAAGTTTCAGAATCGATGCATTATAAACTGGGTCATATTTGACTATGTTCTATAAGCTCAGTAGCTACACTCTACGACTCTTGACGTACATTGTTTGCCCATTTTCTGACAGTTTAAGCTTTTTAAATTATTGATTGTCCGATACAGACGAGTTTTACTCAGTTGAATGTATGCGCAAAATGACTAAAGACAACATGGATATATTCCTTCTAGAATTCCTGACCAAGCAACATTTTTCCATTTTAACCTAGAAGTAGCATCCTGTCAAAAAATGCATACGATCCCTTTTTCATATTGGATAGCGAAACATAATTCCAACAAAATAACAAAATGCCACTCACTCGCACAACTCCTGGATATTATAATTAATCTCCTATGATAACATATTATGCATGTCCACGTTCTGCTTCAACTGCTCCCAAATCATGTGGTCACTAATTTTTGAAATAATTTGGAGAGGGGATTTAATTTAAAACTGTGCAATAATCTTGCTTAATTAGCTCTACCACTAATTAAATAAGGTGTGTGTGTCCTTCCTGAATTATATGCTCATGATCAAAGTTGAGAATGCTTTTTGCATGTATTCAGATACAAATACAAATAGAATGATGGGAAACTACTCATGTTTTTGACATGATTCTGAGATCAAAGTTATTTTGAACTTAAAAACCGTTCTTCGCCAGCATAAAATTAAAAACCCATCTGCCATCCAGTGTTCTTATTTGTGTTTGGTTTTTTCAGTCTCACAGAGCAAGAGAAACTATAGGACAGTTATGAGTGACAAGATGAGGGTCGTTATTGATACATGGGGACATGAATTCACCATAGAAGTGGGTCTCAAAGAACCTGTCCTTGAAATCAAAGGGAAGATTGCACAACTCTTGGGCATCCCAATGGCTTCACAAACCCTTGCAGTGTGGGGATGGGAATTAGTAGATGGACTAGACATGGAAGACTATCCAATTGTCACTGAAGGTACAAAAATTAACCTCACAATCAAATGCATGGAACCTCCTTTTCACCGTTCTAGTACGATTCCGATTATCATAAAATTTTCAGCAATACAGCATCACATAGAGGTGAACAGAACAGAAACAGTGAGTAGCCTAAAAGATACAATCCACATTCTTTATGGTACACCCATCAAAAGAATGTCACTCTTCTTTTGTGGAATTGAGTTAGAAGAAGATATTCGCAACTTAAGCGAGTACGGCATCCGTGAATTTTCTGAAATCCTTGTGTTCCTCAAGGCCGTGAATCGTCCAACGGATGATACCCCCTCAAGGAGATTGAGTCTTGTGGTACAAACTTCCTCAAGCTTGCTTAATGCATCCAGAATTCCTTTGAAAATGAAGGACTCAAGCACAGTTAATGAGATGAGGCAACTGCTTTTAAGCAGGAAACTTCTTCCAATTGATGATTATTTGTTCATACACAAGCAGAGGACCATGCGTGACAATTGTAGCCTCAGGTGGCATGGTGTGGAAGATGGAGATCCCATATATGTGTTTAAAGGGGCCGTCTATCGCGGCGGATATTGACATGCAAGAGGAGTAGTGCTATAGCTGAAAATGAAATTTAAACTAATCTAATTATATTTAAAATATATTAGAGAAGCACAAGCGAGCATTCGATTCCGTTAGGGATTTTAATTATTTAACATGTTGTATTAACCATCTATAAGATCATTTAAGTACAAGAAAATAACAACTTAATTTCCTATGAGTTTAACCCCTTTCTTACTCTTTCCACTATATCTTGTTTCTGTGCCCATAGCAAAAGCAGAGCTACACATTTCCTCGGCTCTTTCATGATCCATGTCAAGGGGGCAATAGACCCCATTTCATTGCGGGTTCCATCTTGGACCCGTCGTCATTCATCTGATGGTTAAGATCAGATGACAAGGGAGCTTCTGTGGGGCTCCAATTTCCCGCTTCATATCATCAAACGTCATGGTTAAACAATTCTACACACATCTGTGATCCCAGGGAGCTCCTGCTGGGCTTCAATTTCCCACCTTGGAATCAACTGCATTTACATTTGATCTTTCGGATGGTACAAACTTTGATTTCAAAGTGTAGCTACACCCTGTAGTTTCATCAAACAGTGATACTTCCTGGGTGCAATGGCACCTGCCTGTGTGCACAGTTCTATTACTGCTGGAGCATGCCCATAAAAGCCCCTCCCTTCATTCAAAAGCACTTGAGGATCCTGAGGCCGTCGCCGCCATACAATCTTTGGAGGCACAAGATCATCTACATTTGCCTTTCCCCAAAAGTGCGTTCCCTGCCAACTCTCATACTTAAAAATTCCACAAAGCCTAGCCTTATGCCCAGAAGGCCCTACATGAACTTCTGAACAATGTTTACACACTTTTGCTGGATAAACCATCAATAACTTCTCCACGCCATTTCTGAGAACTTCCCATGCCTTCAAAGTTCCACTGGCAATCATAACCAGTTCATCAGGTGACAAAGACTCAGCTCCATCAACACTACAACAATCACTTTCTGGGCTCCAATTTGAATACTGATTTCCATCATTTGCCCCTGCTTGCCAGCATAGCTCAACAACTGCAGGAACACGTTCAAAGTCAAACCTCTGATGGTGCTTAATAACATCCTGGAACATGTGCTTCAGGTGAAATGCCTCTACTGGAGCAAGCACATCATTTAAACCACCAGTTATCCATTCATGAACCCGATTCTTGCCACGACGTTTGAAACCACAACAAGTCTGAATTACGTGGCCTTTCTCACCTATATATACTTCTGGACAGAATCTGCAAAAGTAGGATATGGATGAAAAACTCTGGCTTTTCTTTTGAGTCACAAAAACTGTCCATCAGAGCAGGAGGGAGAATGGAGATCAATTACATTAACGCCAATTTGGAAAACATAGCTAGTGCACCTTTCAAAAATAGTATTTAGGGAGCTCAGGAACATGTAGATATAGTGGTCTAATTTTTCTGAGACAAGAAATACAGAACATAAACTGTGAAGCTTCCATGAAGAAATTTGCAGAGGACAGATCCAAGAAAATTTGCATTTAAAAAGGGCTTGAGTATGTATTCCACTATTGACAGCTATAAAGCAACTCAATCATCCTAGATTTCACGGAATTTTCCTCATAACACAAGCCCATAATTTTAAAAAAACACGCAGATCAAAGTCGATATTGTTTCACGAAACATCTGTAACCTATGTAATAGAAAAGTAAGGATTTCAATGCTAAATAATTCCAAAAAAGCACACATGCACCACAACCCCCCCCCCCCCCCCCCCCCCCCCCAAAAAAAAGAACATAAAAATAAAAAGTAGAACTTGGCAGATGAGGGATTTACTTGCAGGCCATAACTGGTAACACTTTGAGGAGGGTAGAGACACCTTGCATAAGGAGCCTCCGGGAATTAAGGACCTCCTGGGCCACTGGAATCATGCCTGGTACTGGATAATCCTTAGCCCGTTCTTGGATTCTCTTCTGAATCATAGGCTTTAGCTTCCTTAAGTCCATCTTGTTTGAGCTAAAATACCTTGAAAAGGTGTACATAATCTTGCCATTGAAATTGGAACTCTCAAACAACTTCTTCCTCAGTGCCATAATTTCCTTTTGTGCCAAAACCATATAAAATCACATCTGCTCCGCAAAGGGTAGACTAAAAGCCAATGAGCCAAATGCAGAAAACATAACAAGAAGTCACCCACGTCATATTTGGATGGTATAATGTGCAACAAGTTACTAGCTTAGCAAAGCAGTACATAAAGCAAGCACATTAATTACGAAAGTAGAACTCTTTAATCGATTCAAAACCACAGCTTCCATAAAACCACCATGACCCAGTTCCATAGCTTATACAAAATCCCCCTAAACTTTAAATTACAAGGGAGAAAAAGGGAAACCATTTTTCTCAAGTTCGTCAAATAACAAACTTTACAGGTTCATAACTCATATAAATCAAAGAAAATGAGAAAGGAATTAGATTTGAGTATGCAATCAATCAACATAACCAAAAAAATAAAAACCATATCCCAATAAACAGCAACAAGGAAGAAACGAACAAGTACCTGGATACAAAGACTGAATCCAAGCAAGCAATGAGAAACGGAGAAGAAAAAATAAGGGAGATCGGGCGAGAAGGTGGGAAATAAGGCAAAGGTTTCGGCTTGGCTCTGTCTCTGTGGGTATAGGAACCGGAGCTCCGAGTATGAGAGAGTGAGGGTCCAATGGTTTTGGGCCTTTGGCATTTGTATAGTTTTTTCTTAAAAACTAAATAGACAGGTTTTTTCTATATATATATAAAAAAAAAAAACTGAGGAAAAGAATAATAGAAGGTTGGGTAATTCACAATTTAAGAGGGCTAAATTTGGAAATAGAATAAGACAAAAATAAAGGGTTCAGGAAAATTGTGGAAACTCAATATGATTGTTATGATGTTTAAAATTAAAACTTTTTTGTTGGTTATTAATTAGAAGGCTACACTAAACTAATTGAATTAGTAATTGGCTTTCAGATCTTATGTTTGAATTTTCACTGTTAGAATCTGCTTAACTTTCAATATAAGACTGCCACCTTATTAAAATAAGATCCAATAATTTATATTTTAACACGTGTACGCTAGTGAAAAAAAAAAAAAAAACTTTTGTTGCTTATTAATTAGAAGGCTACACTAAAAATTGAATTAGTAAGTGGCAGAAATTAAAATTTTAAATCATCCTTTTTTAGGAAGGGTGATTTACTAAGTAAGTACTTGGAAGTCTAAACAGGTGAAACGAGACATGGCGGTGCGTTTTGGTGTCATGGGGAAAACGACCGCAGGCAATATGCGGCTTAGGCAGAATCAGATCCTCAAGGGCAATATTGCCGCGTGAAGGTAAATCACAAACCGTCCGTTCCTACACACGCTTCTCCCAACCGTCCAATCCTGAAACCCCCACAAAAGAACAAGCCAAACAAAGGCGTACGGCAGCAGGAAGCTCTTCTTTAACGCGATAAATAAGAAAGAATAAAGTAAAATCCGAGTTTCTGTGGTTCGCACGACTTTTTCATATCCTATATATAGAGCTCCTACCAATCTTTCTCTCTTTACCTCATCTCTGTTTCCAAATCGCCTGCTTGGATTTACCGTCTCTTCGTTCAGGTAATTTCTCTTTTCATGTTGTTATCGTTATTGTTGATTCAGGAATGAAATTTATTTTGGGTTGTGTTTGATTTATCGCTAATTTAGATTAATTCTTTCTGGGTCGATTTGATTTGTATGAATTATTAGCTTGAGGATTGTGGGATTATGGCCAATTTGTATAAGCTGGGTATGTATAGAATTGGGTCATGGTGGATTTAATTTTATGATATTAGGGATAAGTCGAAGAGTATGAGGTTTGGGTTCTGGTAATATGGAAGAAGTGAGTTTGGATCAATAAAAATGTGTACTTTGGTAATTACTGTGACTTTTTGGCCTGTTAATATCATGAAATTATCAAATTGTGATTTTGTTTCTATGTCTTCTGGATTTGGCTGATTGGGTTTTCTCTATCCTTTTGTGTAGCAGATTTAATATTAATATTTTAAGAAAACCCTTTGTTGGTTACTTGATCTTCTTCCTCCAACAGTCAAGTTTCATGTCTGAATTCGACACCCAGGTCCCATCTGCTTTTGGTAAGGTTCTGTTCTTTTAAGCTGATCCATTTTAGGTGATATGATTTATTAGAAGCATACTTCATTCAAGCAATCTAAGCATTAAATTTTTGGTGGTTTGTGTCTTTGTGGATTGTTTGGGCAGATCCCTTTGCTGATGCAAATGCTGAGGACTCAGGTGCTGGGACAAAAGAGTATGTGCATGTGCGTGTGCAGCAGCGTAACGGGAGGAAAAGCCTGACTACTGTGCAAGGATTGAAGAAGGAATACAGCTACAATAAGATACTAAAGGACCTCAAGAAAGAGTTCTGTTGTAATGGTACTGTGGTCGAGGATCCTGAGTTAGGCCAGGTTTGTTCCCGTCTCTTGGAAAAAGAAACTTTCAAAATAAGTGATTTTTGCTCCAAATAAGCAATGCAAATGGGCAGTTAGTAAATCAAGATGCATTCTTTTGGTACGATGATTGCAAAGTAGATGTAAGATATGGTGCATTATTTATTTGATAGTCTATGTCGGGCCACAAGATTGTTGTTGCTAATTTGCGGTGATGAAAAGGGCTGAAAGGAGAATTTATTGCATGTGTAGTAGATTTCTTCTCCCTTGAGTATAGGGTGCAAGCTTGCACTAAACATTTTCCATGTATTGTGAGCATTGTTGTTCATTAGCCATCGGCAAAACATCTATACAAATATTCAACGTGTCAGTTTACTGTCATTGCAACCAAAGGCTTATATGTTTCATGGTTGCAGGTCATACAACTTCAGGGGGACCAGAGAAAGAATGTTTCCTCCTTCCTTGTGCAGGTAGTGGATCTGTCTGTTTTTTTAATTATGTTGCCGCCACATTATACTATTGATTGATGTGTATAATATAACTTGTCAACTTCTCATCTTCTTTTAAACAGGCTGGCATTGTTAAGAAGGAAGACATCAAGCTTCATGGTTTTTGAATAGCAGCGGTCCCGTTACTCAAAGCGAGTAATATATCATCAGAAATTGAGTGTTGCTACAATCTGTTCTGTTACATGTACCTTATAAAGGTCTGAAACAATAGTTCTGTTTTTCTTCAAGTTCTGCTGCTTGCTGTGTTATGTGGCAGGATACTTCGAATACCGTTACTCATAATAATATAGTTCTGCTTTCTATTAGTACCGCGGAAATGACCAGCAGGTCTGCTTGTTGATTTATGCTTTCCAGTCAGTGGCACCTTTCTTACTAGGGAGATTCTTGCATATAAAGGTTAAGTGCAGGACTTAAATATTTGTGATTGGCAGAAACATTTTAGTGGCTTCAAAAACTATTCCCTGTTTCTGCAAAATGGCTTCTGCAAAATTATAGTCGGAGAAGCTCCCCATACTAGATATATCAAAATGCATATAATATTCCTTTTTTCTTGGGTCGGGCATTAAATATTGGGAGATTTACTATTATACCAAATTAATGACTTCCTCTATTTAAACGTGTTCTAAGCAACAAATGAAAAAAATTATTTCATCTTTTGCTGGTAGATAGGAACCCTTTAAAATGGTAAGCGAGAATCAGTTTAATTTAAGGCAAAAAGAGGAAGCCATTGATGTATCATATTTGTCGGCATATTCTTATTAAATGAAAAAATAATGCTAATTGCAACAACTAATTGGTTTTAGGCTGCAAAAATGGTCCACTGTCCAATGGGCAGGTGCAACCTGGTCCAACTTTTGGCCCAACCCCAATGTTATGGGTAGCTGGTCTTCTGTCTTTTCTTTTCTGGTTGGTTCGGCTTGAAACCTCTAAAATCCAACTGATTTCGGTCTGTGGCCTGAACGAGGGAAAGATCCGGTTGTGGTGCACTTGAAGTCATCCGACATGTTTTTTTTTTTGTTTTTTTTATTTTGTACAAGTGATAGTCTAAATTACTTTTTACTCCCACACTCCAAAGAGTTATAGTGGTTCGAACCTATAAATAATATATATATATATATTTTTTGGGTTTGAATCCCTGATATTAATACGTAAAATTTTCTGCACTTTATTGACAAAATAAAAAAGACATGAACTGAATTTGAAAATTGTGTAGGTTTCTAAATAATTTGACTTTGATTCGAATCCTATGCCAAGCGGATATGGATGATAGCTCCTTACATATTATTTTATAGTGTAAATTTTCATTTCATTTAAAAAAATATATATATATTTTGTCCATGTTTTTCTAGTTTTTATATTACTTAATTGTGTCTGGAAATGATCATCTTGATAAGTTCATAACATCCAGTTACGTGTTATATAGTCAAAGAACACACGCTACTTTTAATTCTCTTCGAAAAGGACAATACCTCCTATAATGATATTTAAATAATAATAATAATAATGCTTACTCTTAGCTCAAAAGAATGATAATACTAGACAATACATGAACAGGATAATTGTCTGCCGACTTTAGACTTGAAGTCTTGTGGATGACCAACCCCGCTATATGCCAACGATGGTTGATTTACTTGGTAAGGTATTTGTATTGTGTGTAACTTATAAATGTTGGTGTGTAATTTGTAATTTCTTATATAAATCCACACATATGGTAATTAGTAGTTGGGTGTTACGCATAAGTCTTTCTGCTTAAAATTATGAATCTACTTTGGTGCTGGTGATGAGAGTAGTCAATCTCTTCCTAAACTTTTATTCACCAAAAGATTTATATATAAAAAAGATATTCACTATTATACCCAATACATGAGTCCAAATTATAAAAAAATCATATATGAAAGGGACTTTAGAAACACACAAAAAACTCATTTACAATATAACAAAAAGGCTTTTGACTTTTTTAAATTACAAAATTTTCATTGATTTCTTAAAACAAACACAACCATAAAACCTCATAAAAAAAGCTCAAAACACTCGATAGAACATCAAAGTAATTTAATAATCAAAATTAAATTCAATAGGCCAAGCTGTCATTTTTTGAGTTTGTTTATAGAAATTAATAGTGTAGAATTTATCTATAATTTTAGTACTGAAAAATTAGTATATGACTAAATATCTCAAAAAAAAAAAAAAAAAAGTCTGCTATTTACCCTGGCCGTCCAAAAATGGTCCATCTGTTTACAGGTACTTTTTTGTTTGATTTCTGTCGACCCTCAACCACGGGCCATACAACTCCAGTAAGCTTTCGAATTTCGCCAAGGACGCTGATAATTTGATTGTCTACTTCTCCCAAATCAACTTGAGCAAGTGCTTGAAACTGTTTGCTCAGGTACGATTTTCAATCGTGGGTGCATACACAAAAAACTTCAACGATAAGAGTTAAAATACGGCTGAACGATTGTCAGCAACATTATTTCCAAATGGCGCGTGATAATTTCTTGGAGCTCAGCTTTCTAGTCGACACTATCAGTAAAGTAATATTAGTCGGGGACAAAACTGCATATTTTTAATGGCCATCGACGATCGTGCTGTCATATCGTATCATATTATTTGTTTTCTAATTTGGCATTTTCTTAATTACTGCTAAGACACAGCCAATGTATTTCACTTGATATTAATACATCCCCACCAAGAACTTGCCACCAAGGAACCACTTGAATATATATATATATATCTCATACCAAACAACACCCTACCTTCAAGATTGAAGCACCAAAAACTAATTATGGTTTCAAGGGATGTTTTTCTAATCGACGAGAAAAAACGGAATTCTAACTTGAAATCTCTTTCAATACGATGATTTTTCGAGAGATAAAGTGTAAGGAGTTGGTGTTTTTTTTTGGCAACTCAAAACCATCTTAAATAATCAAATGACTCAAAATGATTTGATCATGAAAGTTAAAATCAGGTCATGATAAGAAAAAGTTGGAGTTGGAGGGTAGGGCCCAACATTTGATTATCTTTTTATCTCACAGTATACTGATTTGGAGGTGTGAGTACAAATACTCAAAGATTTGCAATCATCAACATTCTATGCCAACCAACAGTTAAGTATTCAACTACCTATCAAAGGTGGACTAGAACCCACCCTTTCCAACTACCATTCTTCTTTGGCTTCCTCACCTCACCACCCATTCTTCCCTCTATCCATGGACAACATTTTCTTAGGAATCTTCCTCCTATTTATACAACTTAGATTACTTGCCTTCAGTTTCAAACACAGTTTCCTGCACTTGCTCTTTTCTATTAACTCAACCACTTCAAATTTGCGGCTTCAGTTTGTCTCATACTTTCAACTACTTCAATGGCTGACTTGGATCACTCCACCTCTGATGACAATTCTGTGGATTCTAGAGGTACCCTTTTGAAATTTGATGTTAATTTCCTAATCATTCTACGTGGTTTTTCCAATTTTCTACTCCATTGTCTGACTTGGATCAAACCATTCCTAGAGCCCAGAGGCTCCCTTTCTATCCATTGAAAGGATCTTATTGGTTGTTCCAAATTATAAAAACTAGCTGTCCAATTTTCTACTTCTTATGATTCTTTCATAGGGTTATCCTTTGAAATCTGTGTTTCTTTCAATGTGACTCTGATCAAAAGTCAAAAGCATTACTTCACCAAAAAAAATCTTGGTTCTACAACTATTTTAAATATGTAGTCCTTTTGATCAAACATGATGCATGAACTCAATTCCTTGGTGACTTGTGTTTTAGATCAACTCACAAATAGACACGTTTTTATCACAATTTGTTGCAGAGGAAAGTAGTCAAGACTCTAAGCTTCACTTCTCAGAAGACGAGGAAACTCTAATCACTAGGATGTTTAACCTGGTTGGTGAGAGGTGAGCTAATCTCTTCTTCTTTTTATGTCTAATTTTCTCCTACTTATCTAAAGTTACCTGAATTTTGGATAAGCTAATGTTGTGTTTACAAATATATCTCTCAGGTGGTCTCTGATTGCTGGTAGAATTCCTGGAAGATCAGCAGAGGAGATTGAAAAGTACTGGACTTCAAGATACTCAACAAGTGAATGAAGTGCCAGACCAAGAATGCTCTCTCTCTCTCTCTCTCTCTCTCTCTCTCTCTCTCTGTTAGAGCAGAAAATTTTGGGGGTGTTATTAACAAAGTTTGGTTGTACTTAATATGCATGGGTTTTTTCCAGTTTGCATTGCTTAAACAAAGGAAGCTGTAGTATGATCAGGGTTTGCTTGCAATCAAATGGGGGCATTATTCTGCAAGGTCCCATCTTTGTACAATAGTTACTGGATTAATGATGTTTGGGTTTTCAGTTTTTTTGTTTGTAACTTCTGTTATGTGAGCTCTAAGTGGAAGTAAATTTGGTTGGTTTTTTAGCTGCTTGATATCAATGATCAATTGGTATAAAGAATTTAGAACACAAAGCCCAATCTGGTGCTTGTGTTATCTTCAGTACTGACTGTTGACTTGAATTGAAAACCCAATAATATATTCTTATCATGTGGAAGAACTTATGGTCCCCTGCACACATTCTGACAAAACCCAATACAATAATAAGATTAAAAGGAAATATAAGGTTGGAAAATACAGTTTACAGGACCTTTTGATATAAAAGGGGTCTATTTTGGTATTGGACCAGAGATTGGTTTGTGCAAAGGCCATGCTGCATCATATGAGCTTTGTCATGTCCTGATTCTTTCGAGTTTGAGCTATCTGCCATGGCTCCTAGTCATGGCAACAAGAAAGAGAAAATGAAAATGACCTTCAAATATATAAATATTTTTTTTGGGTCTGGAAATTGCTTCATATGGACACAACCTTATCCAAAAAATGATATAGAGCAAATGACATAAGCAATTGAAAATGAGTTGGAGAGACGTACGCGCAAGGACAAATCAAGAAAACTGCAAGTTTCGGCTTCGAGCTCATATTTGGGCCCATGACCCGTTGTTTCGAAAGAGAACGGCGTCACGAGTAAAACTCATTGTTTTGTCATGACGTAGGGGCTTTTTTTGGCATCAGAGATCGATTAAGATATACGGGCATCCAAAATCGAGTTTTTATGCTTTATTAGTTTTTTGAAACTTGGTTAATTTTCCTACTTTAATTCGTTTTGGATTCCTAGGGTATTTAAATCAACTTTAAACTTGTGGTTAGGGTTATGTGATGTTATTTTCAGATTTTCAATAAACTTAAGGTTCCCTCATTCTTCTTGGTGGATTTCAAAGTTATATTCTATGTTATAGTTTTAGCCATTCAATTATCATGTTGCGTCAAAAAATCATCATGCAACATTACAAAACAAACAAGGCCAAGCCCACCCAGCTAAACCCACAAGGGAAAGCAAAGACACATATGCAAGCATGAAACATGAATAAATTAAGCCAATCACATCAGAGAGTAGCTGAATTCTCAATGGCAAAGACTCAAAATCAGTCTTTTTCCTTTTTCTGTGGTTATCTCCAGACTGTTCTACCTAATATATTAATTAATATCCATATGATGACAACTAGAAGTTGTTTTAAGTTTCCCACATGCTAAAACAAGAGAAGAAGAGTTAGAAAACTCTTTATAACACTTAAAAAGGTGAAATTTGAAGGGGGCATTTGGTAGTGTCAGAAAAAATGAAGAAGAAGGAACCAACTGACTTGCAGAAAGCCAAGTTTGTTAAGATTCAACATGTTAAAAAATCCATCTCTGTTGATAGATTCATGGGAAATTTGGAACCTAAGCTGGAACATAATCATGAATCTAAGGATAAAAAGCACCGTCATGAGAAGAAAGTAGTCTAAAAGAGAACAAGTGACTGAACGCGCTTAGACATTTGGCAAATGTAAATTTTATAGTCTTTTCTTTTCTGGCCTGGGATCTTATTTTATTATTTTATCATACTATATGCCGCAAATGATTTGTCTTGGCATGGGTGAAGACCGTTAGCTAGAGTAGCGGTAGCATCATGAAAAACCACATGCAAAACGATATGAAATGAAAACATTCAAGAAAACATGGAAATCATGGGGATCATCAATGGATGCATATTTTAAAAAACAGGGGCAAGCTTACCTTCCATGGCCAAAGAACGAGCAACCCCAGTGATTGATAGTTAGCCGCTCTAAACAAGCTTCTTAGTACCTTGATTGCATTTAATTGATAATGCGGATTCACAATCTAATCAATAGTTTCTCTTCTCTAATTGGAGACACAATGATTGACGAGTTTGATTATATAGTTGGATATGATTCATAATCTTAATCAATTGTTTGGTGACTGAAAACAACCTAAACTGGATTATGTCTAATTAATCATAATTAATTATCGACAAAAATGTGCAAGGATTATCAACAACAAAAAAAGGTACAAGGATTGTGGATCCAACTAAAAGATTGGGATTAAGGTCCTTAGTCGCTCAACACATGTACTCTTTACCTGCTTATGCGTTCATAGCACAAGACTTGGCATTGTTGTGTTGTGAACATAATCGTTGTAAGATTTGCTTTAAGAGAAATCAGTTGTGAAAAAAAACAGTTTGGCGTTTAGTAAACTTGTTATAAAAAGTGATGTTTGTACAATAATAAGTTCTTGTGTGTTTGGTAAATTTTGGTGTAAAAGTGTTGTGAGTTGTGGATAATAACTAAAAATAATATTATGGTGAATTAACTCTTCTATTCAAGTGTTTAAAATTCGCCACTTAGATAATGAAATTATTTAGGAGACTAGTCTATGATTTGAAATGGAGCATCTAATTAAAAAGCATCATTTTTTTTTCTTTTTACTCAAGCTGTTGTTATCTTTATAGTATGAAATGAAATGGGTTGGGTTTCACTCTCTCAAGTCTTCTCTAATAAGAAGTAAGAATTTGGTTCTTAACAAACAGGAACAAGGAATTGTCCATTTAAATAATTGAATTAAGGGTCCATATTGATTTTTGGGTCACCTTTAAGAAAAGCAAATTGTTTATTGTTCAAGCAAAAACCTTTACCATTCCATTTCTAAAGCTTCTTCTTCATCACTAAGATAGTAACAAAGGGAAAAACGAGTCATGACTACTTTGTCTCACGGATTTCCAATTATTTCGTCTTTCAGTTGTCATTGCCGAATGATTAATCTCAAGGAAGATCACAAGGTCTGTTTTTGGGGTTACTACAGAGAATGAGTGACTATGAAATTAGTATTTCTAGGGTTTATAGGAAGAATGATAATATTAATCTTATCGGTTGTTGCTATCATATCAGTTTGATTTTTAAATTGTACCATAATCAGCGTGCTTCCCTAACCCTAATTGAGAAGAATGAAATTGAGAAGAAAAATAAATATAATATGTCTCTTACCTGGCTTTTAGAGAAGGCTTCAATTGATCCAACAAGAAAAATTGAAGAACGAGCATAAGAGAATGAGAAGACCGACGAGAAGGAGAAGAGCTTGTTCTCATCCATTCGTGAAACAAGTGAACGTGGAAGAAAGCGATGGGAAGGAGAAGAATGAAACTAGAAGAAGAGAGACACGAGCGTGAAATAGATGAGGTTATTTTTGAAATTCTTGGATTTTCATTAAAGTCCATCGCCTCTCCAAACTGATTATCGCATAATCAAAAAATGAAAGCAGCTCATTAGATGTTTTCCTTAATTGCTTTCTCTCACAACAATGATTTACATTAAGTGCTTTTTTTTTTCTTTAAAAAAAAAAATAGACTGGGCTTTCAAAAATTTCAAAATAATCACTTCTAGCTCCAAATAAGTAATGCTAAACGGGCACTAAGTTGGATTGGATTATGTCTATTCATGCTAGGCCATGCATTTCAATTAGTCAAACCTCTTAATCATGTGTAGTACCAAACACATCATTGAATTCGTGTTATCCTCTTCAATTCAATCCAATTCCAGTTTCAAACATGAAATGAGGAGTTTTCTCCATTTTCTCTTCCTCATTAATCAACAAAAGCATATATATAATTTGTATATTAATTTTGCGGGCCCAGAAACAAGGGCTCTTGCTTGGCCCCGTTATAGAAGCATTGGGCCTAGTTGAATTTGACACATAGATAAATAATTACCATACATTATAGTTCCCTAGTCTTTAGATAGAACTTTATGTGACACATGAACTAGTGGTACTAATAATCAATTAACTTGTAAGGTAGGTAACTATTTTCACAATATTATAAATAAATAAAACTATCTAACCAATCTATACTTGTAAATTAACATTACTCAAAACATTGTGGTATATAACCTGTCACAAGAAAATCTGCCTCTTACAGGGCATCATAGTTCTCTAAAGAGGCTGCCAAGAATACCAAAATCAGAGTCGATGTGTATCGCGGGTGAGAAATCCAGTCGTCAAGAAGGAGATACTAGGAAGAGACATGATTCAACTGAAAGGTGTATCTAGTTGAACTTGTTACTTCATTTAATAACGTGGCATGTACTACGTCATGTAATATAAAGATATGGTATACAATACAAAATGTGATAAGATTAGTATTGTTGAATATCAAAAGATTGATGCAATTATTGAGAAAAGGAGAGGGAATGAGAGAGAGATTCCGAAGATATGTGAGATAAGAAGGTTCTTTGTTCCACCTCGAAATGCTCAAAATCCAAAACATGCTGCCCAGCCAGAATTATCAGCAGCAATTGAGGACCACTAAGACGCTCTCAGTCTCCCATTTCCCAAAGAAAACCTCCTCCTTCCTCACATGAGGAAGGATGTGTTCAAATTCATACCATTATTATTATGTTTATCTCAATTCAATATCCTCATCTGGTGCGCATATATCGTCATTTTCAGACGGTGCAAATATATCTATCCCCTCCATGTCCATGACGTATATGCATGTTATCCCAATCTTGATTTTTCTATTGCATATGCTATAACTGCCCACTTGCCAACCAGACCATATAATTTACCAATAAGAAAATGTTAATGAATTAAGACCAGTCTGTGTAATGCATGTGTATGGCAATGACGTTCCCATAGTTTGATCTACCATGCATGCTGTTTATACCATATTTGATCAGTCAATCAGAGAACGATATGTGGAATAAGGGACCCAGGAGGATGACTCGTTAAAACTGGTAATCAATTGCGTCCCACAAAGTACCATCGGCAGGATGTGAATCTTTTGCACCATAGGTTGCAATCGTAACAAAAGACCACATTTCATTAGGAATTTCTCACAAAGACATGTGACGCTTCTTCAGGCAATGCCCACAATCCCACATCGAAATTCCACTCAAAATGCACATCTCCCAAAGTTTATATAGGGGCTCAAGTCCCCAAAACAAAGTAACTGCAACTTCAACTAAGTTAAGCCCAAAAGTATCCGACCATTTTTGTGCATCAACACATGCAAATGAGAGATTTTTTTTTTTCTCTTCTTTCTTTTCTGGTCAATTTTAGCCACTTCTGCTGCATGATAATGCGCAAAGAAAGGAAGGGTAAACATACCAATAGAGAAAACTTCATGAGGATAAGACTGTCATCTAGTTAGGAGATAGGGTTATCCATCCAGAGAGCTTCACCTAGCTAGCTCCTTGGGAAAGTCCAAATCCCCACATCATGCAACCCTTTATACTACTCATCTCACTCATGCTCATGGCCAATCTAACAAACTCTTGCAACCTTTTTTACCCAATTAAAAGGGCTATAACAAAGAACTGAAGAATTATATCTACAAGGAAAGTTCAAGCTTCAACCTAATATTACAGAATCCACATGCCTCCAGATTGCATGTATATATGTTACAGACGCCGTGTGCATTTATCTACATCTGTCACGCTCACGGCTGTGTGACTCTGACACATGTTCTTTGTTGCCATTTGGACAGAAAGACGCATTACCCAGAAAGAAAGAAAACCGAGAACAGTGTTTTTCAAGGCTTTGGGTAAGATTTAAAGGACAAAAGCGACAAACCAACTCTGCTACTTTAACTTTAACTTGGAGCTAGGTTGGATTTTAATCTCATCGATCACATGCAGTTAAGAAGAACAAACAAGTAAATAAATCATGAATCTTCTCAACTTCATCTTGTACAAGCTATTATGTTCAACAAAAGAATGAGGCAACGATGTATATCAGAGTTTCACGGGAAATAATCTTCTCATGTTCTTTATCATGAATGGGAGAAGCCTAATTATGCTACAATTTTATCTGGTTCAATCTTTAGTCAGCAATCATTTGTTTCAATATCGAAATTTTCATCCCTTGGTCCACATTGATGGCTCGATATTGGGTGTCTCATCTTAAACAAACCAAAAACATTTGTCTCACACACACACACAAACTTTTGTATGTGAGCATCAAAAGAAATAATAACCAGCTAAGATTTAGTTCATATGCAGAAACCAGAAAGCAAATTGAAGAAAAATGAAAGTGGCCGATCTAGGCACATCTGAGGCAGTTGAAGAACAAAAGTAATAATAAAAAAAGCAAACAGAAGAACAGAATCAGTTACTCTATTCTTTTATCATGTTATAAAAAATAATGACATCATCCAAAATTGGAAGAAGAAGACAATTAAGCATGGTGACTCAGGATTGTTAGAGAACTAGTGCATGCCATCACCCTACGTGCCTGCAAATGCAGCTCCCGTGGGACAAGTTTCGCTTTTTTTCTGCAAGATAAACAATGAAATATATTTATTACACGATAAAAATAAAATTTTAATATTGCGAAGCACTGTGGAAATTTCTTGGATTTTGTTTCTTTCTTATCCAAAAGGGTAGAGTTTTAGCAATGTCACAAGAAGTTGTGACCTCTCCCCCGCTGGTGTTATAAATATTGGGACTTGGAAGAGCTTTCTCATGAACTTCTCCTAGTTGTTTCACAAAGCTTTCATACCAAAAACAAGTTCTAGCCATGGCTGCATCTTACTCAGTGCCTTCAATGGTAAGCCATGAACAAGCTTTCTCTCTTTTTCTTCATTTTTCTGTTAGTTGTGTCCTTGCTTGTAGTTCTCTCCTAGGATTTGCTAAATTTGAGCTATTTCTACACTACATTATAATAATATTCAAGCACATTTTCAGTGTTTCATATAATTGGTTTTCCCTAGTTTCAATTAGTCTCTGCATATTTTATACTGAGGATTCGGTTTCATTTTTTGTACTTAAGTCTCATCACCCAAACATACTTCTATACGTCTGGCGCATTGGAATTGGCTCTCGCAATAGTCGGTGATAGGTGTGAGACCTAAATTTTTTGCAGGTCCCACACCTTTTCTACTACGCCGGGCGTCTAGAAGGAGCTAGACTCTCTAACCAGCCCAATGTCATGATGAAAAAGGAAAGAAAATTCGACCTCAAATACTTAAGTTCTCACAAATGGCCTATTAGCATGCATGGCATCAATTGTTGCCATTGAGTTATGGATATGTGGGTTAATTTGGTCAAGGAGGAGCTTGCCATTCCTAAAAAGTTGATAAATTTGTCAAAAAGTGAAAAGTATTTCATTCTTCTTTGAAAGATCATGTACCTATATTTGCATGTATCTATATGATATGTATGCACTTGATGTTGTTATGAAGAACCGTAGATGGAGCATAAATTATACGAATTTCTAATTAAAATGAGTTCAGAATTAAGCAATGCAAATTGCTTTTCTACATGTTTGTAACTATGCCGGAATTTTGTATACAGATAATGGAAGAAGAAGGAAGGTTTGAAGCGGAGGTAGCAGATGTGCAGGCATGGTGGGGCTCAGAGAGGTTCAAGCTAACAAAACGTCCATACGCAGCTAAAGACGTTGTGGCACTAAGAGGGACCCTTAGACAAAGCTATGGCTCAAATGAAATGGCCAAAAAGCTGTGGAGAACTCTCAAAACTCATCAAACCAACGGCACAGCCTCAAGAACTTTTGGTGCACTAGACCCTGTCCAAGTCACCATGATGGCCAAGCATTTGGACACCATTTATGTCTCCGGTTGGCAATGCTCGTCTACACACACCAGCACCAATGAGCCTGGTCCTGACCTTGCTGATTACCCCTATGACACCGTCCCAAACAAGGTGGAGCATTTGTTTTTCGCGCAACAATACCATGATCGCAAGCAAAAAGAGGCGCGGATGAGCATGAGCCGGGAAGAGAGGGCTAGAACCCCTTATATTGATTACTTGAAGCCAATAATTGCTGATGGTGATACTGGTTTTGGTGGCACCACAGCAACTGTTAAGCTTTGCAAGCTTTTTGTGGAACGTGGCGCTGCTGGTGTTCACATTGAGGACCAGTCCTCTGTGACCAAAAAATGTGGTCACATGGCAGGGAAAGTGCTTGTTTCTGTTGGTGAACATATTAATAGACTTGTGGCTGCAAGGTTGCAATTTGATGTCATGGGAACTGAGACTGTCTTGGTGGCTAGAACTGATGCAGTTGGTGCTACTTTGATCCAAACCAATGTGGACACCAGAGACCATCAGTTCATATTTGGGGTAACAAACCCGAATCTCAGAGGGAAGAGTTTGGCTACCCTTCTAGCTGAAGCCATGGCTGCTGGCAAAACAGGAGCTGAGCTGCAGGCGCTTGAGGACAATTGGATTTCAATGGCCCAGTTGAAGACATTTTCTGAATGTGTCACAGATGCAATTAAGGCCATGAACGTCAGTGAACATGAGAAAAGGAGGAGACTGAACGAATGGATCAACCATTCTAGCCCTGATAAGTGTTTGTCAAATGAGAAAGGCCGCGAGATTGCTGAGAGGTTGGGGCTTAAGAACCTCTTCTGGGACTGGGACTTGCCGAGGACCAGAGAAGGGTTCTATAGGTTCAAAGGGTCTGTGATGGCAGCTGTTGTGCGTGGCTGGGCTTTTGCTGATCATGCTGATATTATTTGGATGGAGACAGCGAGCCCCGACATGGTTGAGTGCACCCAATTTGCTGAGGGGGTGAAGTCTCTGCAGCCTGAGGTCATGTTGGCTTATAATCTATCACCATCTTTCAATTGGGATGCATCTGGAATGACTGATGATCAAATGAAGAACTTCATTCCTAGGATCGCCAAGTTGGGGTACTGCTGGCAGTTTATAACACTGGCTGGTTTCCATGCTGATGCGCTTGTGGTCGACACTTTCGCGAAGGACTATGCTAGGAGAGGAATGCTGGCTTATGTTGAGAGGATCCAGAGGGAGGAGAGGAACAATGGAGTTGACACACTTGCTCATCAGAAATGGTCTGGTGCTAATTTCTATGATAGGTACCTTAAGACAGTCCAGGGAGGCATTTCTTCAACTGCTGCTATGGGCAAAGGCAAGTCATTCTAAATGTTTTGTTCTCTTGGTAAAATGAAAGAGTGATTAATTACATTATTGACCATCATTGTTTCATTTTTGTTTTCTTCTTTTGCAGGAGTGACTGAAGAACAATTCAAAGAATCATGGACCAGGTCAGGATCCACAGATCTGAGTGAAGGAAATGTTGTGATTGCCAAGGCAAGAATGTAAAAGACAGAGAGAGAGCCACTTGAATTGAGTTTGGTCCAAGGGTACTTTGAGACATTATCCAGCTCATATATTGTGGGAACTGGGGTAGAATAATGTGCTGAAATAATATGATATAGGTGATTGAGACCTTCTGGGTATATTTTTTTGTTTTTGCTACCTAGTGCAGTCTAGTACTTCTTTTATTAGTCTCTAAAGTGAGGACCAAACTTGTTCTTGTGTACTGTAATGGGATATTTTTTCCTTTCAAGTTTCGAAATGTATCCTTCCATTCCTATTAATTCCTCTGTTTCCTCATTCTGTTTGTTGTAAGTTTTTTAAAGTAGTAAGTTAGTGACAGTTCCCCTACTTCCTCCCTATGAGAAAAACTTAGATGCAACTGGGATAGCAAAATAGTGTTGTTCCCATTTCATTGAAGTCTTTCTCCCTCCCTACCCTCAAAAGAATCAGCTAGGAGTAAATGGCTTACAAGGCATTAAGAGAAAAATCATGAATTTTCTCTTCTTATTTCTCATAATTTACTTGGTTGCTTTTTTTCTGATTCTGGTTTCATTTTCTATCAAGGCTTTTGCATTGCCTTTATTAGCATCAATTCTGATAAATTCACAGTTTTGTGCCTGGCCTCATCAATTAGCTGCCATTGGTCTTCATCAAGCATTTTTCTTTCTTTTCTTCACAGCTATTAAGTAATTCTTTTTCCTTTTTCTATCTGACATGAATAAAATTCAGAACTTACCAAAAGAGTAAGCAGCTCATTATTGAACACCAACTCTGCATTTGCTAATCCTGCCTGAATTTCCTGAAATCAGTTATGCAATTCTTTGCTGTTTTGAAGTCTCAAACAAGAAGAAAATTATGATGATGGGCTAAAACGTGGGAATCAAAACATGTCATGCCAGCCAATACACCATCTGGCATTGTTTCTGAATAATTGTGTCTTTACAGAACCAATTCCTCTTCCCCTCCCCACCAAAAGAAAAAAGAATAAAAAATTACAGAGAAAAAGATGCACCTTGTAATTATTGAGTAAAGATAGGCTGAGTATCTGTGATGAAAGGAAGATTGCCAACCTTGCACTGCTTTATCACTTTTTCCATGGCTTCAGAACGGAGAGCACAATGATGAGTGCAATAATCAAGACCAAGATTATGGAAATCATCATGCATTTCCTTGACTTCTTTTGCAAGCTCTTTGCAGTTTGTAGAGCATCTGTCCCTGATTGTACATGGTCCACTGCATTTGTCACCTGTGGACCAAAGACAAATAATACAATTTACTCAATGAGTTTTTTTTCAAATTGCACCAGAGTAAAGTTAGACCTGTTTGATTTTATGAGAGGCAATGTAAGCATGCATTAACAAGATTGCATTGGATCAGACCAAAAACAAAAAACAAAAAACAAAAATGCATTGGGCCAATGTCTGTTTTAAGTTGATCCAAAGGAGGGGCATTTCTTATGTCCTCAACCCAAAACAAGCCCTATTGGTAAATAAGCCCAAAACAACCCAACCCAATATATCACCAAATTCCAAAATCAACCTCATCCCATAAGTGGAGAACAAAACCTAAGATGTACCCTATAAGAGGGATATAATTAATCTCCAAAACCCACCAAATATCATAAATGAAGAAGAAAACATACAATCGATCTAATTTGTAATTTAGTTGTAAAGAGGGGTTTCAGTTAAAAAAAGATAAATATATATTAGCATACATGTTAAACTATCAATGCATATTAAATATTGTAACCTTAGTTTGAAATCTAACCACCCTAAAAACCTCTTAACACCATTTGGACAGCCACTGCAGGGTTGAATTGGATTGGTTATCTTTATAATGGGAAGAAAGGCAAATGAAGGACAATAACTGTTGGGTTAGAGGTATAATAGCCAAGGCTTAGGTTAATTATCGCACATTATATGCAACTTCTCTCTCACAAAAGCGTTACATATAACCGGCTCATACAAAAATTCAAACGTTAGAAGATGTCACTAGGTTGAACCTGGTTTAGGTGGAATGGATTTGTTAGCAGTTTTGGAAGTAGCGGAACCTAGGGTTGGAGCAGCCCATTTTCATTATCTTCGTTACCTCCAGAAGAAAAGGCAGGCCATTTTTGTCAAAAGACTACACAAGGTTAAGCGGATACATCCAGCCTGCAGGACGTTTAGCCTCCTTGAAAAATAATCATATATAAAAAGAATTTTTGATTTTGATTCATGAAAATTATGAAATAGAAAGTGGCGAATTGGCATATGATTACACACTGATGTATGAGACAAAAAGTTAATATAATATAATTGCGTGTAAATTTTAATAAGTCTTTTAAACACGATGAAAATTTTGATTTAAAAACAAAACAAAGCAAAAACATGTTTATAAATTCCATATGGTTGTTGCTAATAAGAATAATATTTAGATAAAATTAAATATTAACATAATCCATCCTTTTTTATATGTTAGGAGAATTTTATACATTGACACATTTTTTATTAGACATAACTCTTGTCCATGCATTTGAAAGCAATCCCTTTTATGAGGACAACCTTACAATCGTTTTCAATTCGTAGTATGAAATGCACACCACCATGAATAAACCAAGCTTCAAAAGAATACACACAAAATAAAACATTTAAAAGCCAGAAGAGAAGAAGAAAGCAACATAAAAACCGAAAACCAAAAATCAACAGAAAAAATCACAACTAAACAAGTAAGACACTCAGTCCTCACAGAGGTGAAACTGAAAATAATAACCCATCTATATTACATGGTGAAGAGACAGGGGCAGACTCAAGCACCCTAGCCACTTTTCCATGGTTTGAGGACACTGACAACTATAATAGCTACTATTATTAAGAGAATAATGATGGCAATGCACATCCATTTTCGGGAGTTCTTCTGGAGTTTCTTTGCTTTTTGAAGTGCAGTGTTCCCAGATTGAACATGATCAACTGCATTCGTAACCTGGACAAGATTCCGATCAACACATAACGCAAAGCAATACACAATTACACATGCAGCGCAGACATATATATGCACTTGTGAATGCATGTCTAAGGATGCAAAGTTAGAAGTAAACCTGAGTTTCAATGTTGTCTAAAATCTCTCCTTGAGCCTCAACCAAGACTGCCATATCAAGGTAGATCTGAAAATTTAATAAAAAAATCGTATTAGAGAAGGTTAGTTTCGGTGGATGGGCCAAACCTCATGGTATAACACACATACCTGATGCAAGTCAAGAAGCTTTTTCTCAATTTCTTTTACAGTGTCATGCCTCTCCTGAATTTCTTCCACAGTATTTAGCACCTGGAATCAGAGTACCATATTTAATTCTCATAGTTTCAGGCTAAACTTTCCCAAGTGGAAAACAAGGGGAAACTTAGAATTATTTGAATAAGAAGAATCAAAAGGAGTCTACCTGTCCTCTTCCCATTTCTTGAACTGCCTTTTGGAATATTTGCTCACTATTTCCAGTTTCTATCAGGTTGTCAATTGTCTAACACAGTCAACAAATTTGGCAAATTAGAACACTCTCAAAGGAAATTGGACATAAAATTCTAAAATCAGGAATTGGGCTCACCTCCTCATCTGGTCTGGTTCCCGTAACTGCAAGTGCAATGTGTAAAGATATGATCATTCATCAAAAAATATGATGATAGAATTATAACACCATCTTCTTAATATGTAACTTTTATACTCTAATTGCTTGTCTTGAAGAGGCATTCAAACCTGTAATGACTCTTCTCTCCACAACCTCACGATATTCATCTTGGATTCGTTGTCTGAGGGTCTGGAATATAATACATTGGTGAGAAGAAAAGAGTCGAGGAAAATGAGTAAAAGAGTAACAAACAGAATGTGTAGATATACATATACCTGAAACTCAATCATTATCTCCCTAAACTTTTTTGTCAAGGAACTGCCAAACAGAAAGTAGTTTACAAATCAAATCATTTATGATTAGCCTATAGGGAGTTAAGTACTCTAAAATATAATATATAAGCACTCTAAACAAACTTTGTCATGTTCATTCTTGATCTGTCAACGCCTGTTCCCTTCTCACATCCAGGCTTTTGTCGGTTGGCTAAGTTCTGGAGAAAGGACAAGGGAAGTCATTAGATAGCTAGAAAACAGCTAACTAATATTAAACAAAGCTGGTAGATTGAGGAAGAATTGTTAAACTATTACATCTTTGCTTATTGCTTCTAGTTTTGTTTTGACACCACGTGCAATCTTTCCCACTTCATCAATATCTTTTTCCATCCGCTTTTTAATTGCTGAAAGAAGGATAATGGTGTAAGAGTATTGCAGACAGAACAGAGATAAACAACATCAGTATAATGCACCGTAAACAGTTAGCAAGAATTTTCCCCACGTTCCAAGTAGTCGGCCAAGTCTGCTTAAAATTGCTCCCAACAGAAAACCAAAACAAGTTCCTAGCTAAAGTGATCCACGCTCTGCTACGTGCTGATTCACAGTTAACTTTTTGTAGAACAATAGTATTGATGAAATTGCATTTTTAGGTGCAAGCTTTTCAAAACTATGGGTGCTTATACCTTTCATGGCAGATGCTTTTGTAACAGACTTCGACTCCTCATTTGCATCCTATAAATAAAAAAAATCCAAAGTAAGTTTCTAGTTGCTGCCTTATACACACACAGTTGAAATTCAAATGTCAAAATGAATCCTAGCACAAGCCCAACAACATTACTTAGTCTTGACCATATTGCCAACTATGTTCATAGTACAAAGTGTTAGGCAATTGATAAACAACGTGTCTGTCAAATATGAGTGGTGCAGATGTGAATGTTCTTTTATTGAATAAGTGAATGGATTTGTTAAGAAAGCAAAATTATCATTGAAGAACACTGTAACTGTACAAGAGGTCAGAGGTTTCAACATAAGCACCACAATCAAATACAAGATAGCTATATCAATACAGAACCAAAGCCAATGAAACTTAGATAAATCAGACCCCAATTCCAAGATTTAAAAAGATTAGAAGCTTATAATACAAACTAACGTACCTTAAGTTTTTTTAGAAGTCCAGAGAGCTTATCCACCTGTTTCTCAACCTCTTGTATCTAAATTACAAAACAAAAAACAAAAAGAGGAAAAAGTAACTTGAGGAAGTGTTGACGGAAAAAGAATAGAAAGCAAATCTTAACCACATAAACCAATAGTAAAGAGTTTAAGAAGAAAACATAATACATGCGTTTCATTAGGGATTTCTTTCTTCCTGCATTACTTAATTTCTATTACATCTTAAGAAAAAATTCACACAAATCCCAAATAAACTAAACGGTTTCGACTTCCGGTTTACGTATATGTAGTCTGCAACCAAATAAAACTTTGTGGATAGGAAAGACCTGCTTATTGAAAGCATCCATTCCTGTGTCAAAACTGCTAGGAACTGGCCTTCCCATTTCGATATCATTTGTTCCGGAAGGCTGGGCTCTTGCATCACCAACAAACGAATCCTAATGCAGAGCACAATTACACAAAATAAGCACTGATTACAACACGCTGAAAGAAAGAAAACACAAACTATCTTTTCACGAAAACCAAATTTTCAAAGAATGATGCAAAAAAAACACTTACAAATTAACCAACCTGTTGAACGCAAATTCAATTCAATTTGTTTAAAAAGTTTTGGGTGAACAAGGTTTACTAATGAGAAAATATATGATTCCAATCGTACCATCATTGTTAAACAAAAGCAATAACTATAACTATAAAGCCTTTTATGACAGAATCAGCAGAGTCTCTGGTCAGTTGCTAAGAAAACTCTGAAAAACAAATTCATACATAAAAGACTTTTGACTTCCAGATGCCGTTGGAAAAAATGCATCACTAAAACTGAGAACTCTGTTCTTGTCTTGAAAAGAACAGTATGTCCCCTTTAAGTCAGTCATCTCATCAACTAAAGGGCAAAGTTAATATCAGTGAAAACTCAACTTTGAATGATCTGAGATTCCTCTAATACAAGATTCATCTTAAATTACAGGTGGGTAATATCCCAAAGTTTAGAATTTACATGAAAATGACAGATAAAATTTGCCAGGCAGTCAAAAGCCAATCACCAGTAAAAAGGGTACCAATCCAAACCAAACTGCACCAACCTAGTTCTTAAGCAAAGCCAATAAACCCAAATTCAAATACCGAATTCAGAACATTTAAATCTTACTGACGAAATCCAATTGTCATCCAAGACAGTGCAAACTAACTGTTACTGCAAAATAGTACCTGTTCATGAATTTAATTAAAAAACCAAATTACCGTAAGCAGGTCGTTCATCTTGAACAAAATCAAAAGGCCTCAGAGAAAGAGCGCGCGCGAGAGAGAGTAAAGTTGGGAGATTGTGGAAGAAAGAGAGCTAGAAGAGTGGTCGTTGGCTTTGTTCGTTGGCCGGCGATATATCGAATAATAGAAGAGCCAATTGACAGACAGACAGAAAGACAGGCAGGCAACCCACACGCTCACACAAAGGGCGTTACGTACGAATTTCAACAGTAACTTTACCAAATTTTTTACGTTGTTAATGTATACAACGAGGTTCGGCTTCCTGTCTGACAGTTTGTGTTTGCCAATGTTTAATGTTTTCATTTTTATTGCAAGCCAATGTTTGATGTTTGTGAGCTTATGCAAGATGTGATTAGGCAAATTAGTTAATATAGTGTATCCGTCTTCTTACATTCGAGTTCGACTACCTCTTCGTATATATACATTTTTTACCTCTTTGAACATTGAAATAATTTAATATACTGCTTTGTGAAAATTTGGCTTTCGCCACCTATGAAGTTGGTTCCGCAAGTTTAAGAAAAAAAGGGAAGCTATTTTTAATGTCTTTTCTAGTCAACAAATTGTATTCCAATTAGCTCAATTGGTGCAGTCTATTGCTCGCACATGTAGGAGAGTTGCCCTTTACTAAATTATTCAAACTTATTTGTAACTAGTGTGTGTGAGAAATCTCCCTCCCATTTGTAGTTTTAATAAACTATAGTTTGTATTTGTGAAAATAAATAAATAAATAAAAAAGAAATAGCAGCCCAAAAGAACATAAAAACCAGAACATTTATCTGGGCCTAGAGAGCCCAATTCCAAGCTGGTATCTCATTCACCTACTCACAAGCAACTTTCCTCTTGGATCATCTTTGGGCTTAATAGATATAAGCCTAGCCCAATTCATACCAAATGTTCTTTTATAATATTTTCTTGTATCATACGAGGAAGACTTCAATTTATAGGTCTACTGTCCTGCGTTTAAGTTTGGATTGAAAAGCTTATCTCTTGTCATAGTCTAAAATGAACCCCCACATTTAGCATTCAACTTCCATTTCTTATAGAGAGAAACAAAATCCAAGAATTAAATAAGAACATTAACACAACCTTGTATATTCTTACCTCCTATATATGATCTTCATCAATATGAACTTAATTACTTCAATCACCAACCATTCCGGCTAATCACCTACCATTGCTGCTAATTAGGCCTGTTATCAAGCTTTCTGAGCCTCAACTTTCTCAGAAATCCAGCATGCCGACCGGCAAAACCCCTCGCAGAGGCCTTAAAATCTGCTGTGGTATAACAGCAATTTTCCTAGTTTTTGTTGTCATTGTCCTCACAACATTATCACTCACCCTTTTGAAGCTTAAAGATCCCAAAATCAATGCCAAGCCGGTTGGCCTTGAGAACATTCAGTTTTCTCTGTTCCCAAATGTGACACTAAATGTCACACTAGGCATGCTTATTACAATAGAAAATAGGAACTATGGAAGCTTCAAGTACAAGAATTCCACGGCTTATGTTCATTATCGAAACAGCGTCGTAGCAGAAGTTCCAATTGAAGGAGAACTTGTGCCTGCAAGAGGCAAGATCAACACGACCACCTCTGTGGATCTCGAGGCAGAGACCATAATATCAAATCCCAATTTCATGGCAGATGTCACTAGTGGGAGCTTGAACATGACCTCAACTGCTAGTTTACATGGGAAAGTGAGTTTGCTCAAGATCTTCAAGTTCCCCGCGACGGCTTTCAGCATGTGTGACATCTCGTTTTTCATCCTAACTAAGAGTATTGATTCTAAATGTACGTCCAAAATCAAGTTATAAATGTTTACTGGCATTTATCATTCAAATGAACCCAGTTGCTCATCTACCATTGTAAAGTACTTTCCAGTATGAATTAATGATGTGGTAAATTAGACTCAAAAGCTTTCTTCTGTGGTAAAAAAACAGAACCCAAGATTCACAAATTGCAGCCTTTAGAGCATATGTGTTTGTTCAAGTAAATTATAAGAGAGTTGCGGCTGTCAAAAGTTTTGAGTGCACATATGCTAATTTCAACAAAGAAAAAGTTTGATTGGGGAAAAGAAGATTTGCATTGGGCAAAGCCTGATATTCCGTAATCAAAGTGGATAAATTAAAGCCTGGTGATAAAACATGCATGAACTTCACCTTCTTCACTGAACTATGCAACAAATCCATCTCAATCCTCCACTGCCTCCTCCAACTTTTGTCACCCACTTTAGGACTTCAAAGAGTACCCTAAAGTTAGTACCTAGGAATTGGGAGGAAAGATAACTCAGTGAGATTAGTTGGACGTGGACAAATAAAGACAAAGACATCAAGAGAAAAACGCAAAAAGAAACAAATGATACGTCAAACCATCCAGCGTTATGGGCTTTTTTGGCATTAAAAGCGTGCATATATAATGTAATAATCTTCCTCTCATTCACAAGAACAGCACATATCATCTTAATGTTAGGTAGCATCCAATTTTTTCTTGTGTCTGACGCACTATGTTAGATTCTAACAACGGATACAATGAATCTTTTATTTTTCTATTAAAACCGGTATAAAAATAATCATTTCCAAACTCTATTCCATGCTTTTTTTTTCTTTGCACCTGTATCAAGAAAATAACCATAACGAGAATGTTATAGTTGTTGACTAACGACATACATGTATCAAAATATTGAAATGTTTCTGAGGTGGAAGAACCACACCTGTGACTACATTGCTCTTCATTCACACGTCACAAGCACAAATAATTTTATTTAGGGCTTAACTGAGTGGAAAATGAAGTGAATGTAGACTAAATTTTACGCTTATATTCCTTGCAGGCGGCCTAAGATTTTCTCTTTCTCTCTCTTCGCCTCTCTCTCTGTCCTTTATTTATACACAAACAGAAATAGGAGTATTATTTTATATATGGTTGCAAAGATACGAAAATAGATAATCAGATTATATGCTCAGCTTAAAGTTTAGTTTAATGCAGAGAATATAGTGCCGGCAAAGGAGAAACCTTGCTTGCTTACTATCCAATGTTTGGCTTGCTAGAAAAGCAAGAACATTCACGGGACAATTTTAAGGTTGCAGAAATTTCATGCTCGTGTTGAGCAAACCAAATGTGTCCAAAGTCTCAAATTCTTCTTTTTCTATTTTTAATTTTTTGTTTGTTCACGGGACCTAAATGGCCATCATTATTTTGTCATCACGGGGTATGTTATGTGTTACCATATTAGATAGAATTTGGAATATCATTTTCGTTTTAAAGTCAACGCAAAACTGAAATACAAGTAACATTTTGGTGAATGAATATTATTAAATTTAAGTAAATTTAGGTTTTAGCCATAAAAAAATTTTCACTTTTGGAATAAGCCAAAGCTTTTTTTAAAAGGACAGAAAAACCTCTCAACTTTCAAATCAAAGACATGCAAGTGTAAATGATTTCTTAGGAAATTCAAAACTAAATAAGGGCAAATTTGTCCATTTTGGCTTCTTTTACAAAATTTCTCTCTCATTTGGGTTTTCCCAAAGTCTCCCATATATTTATATGGACCAAATGTGAGGAAGCTAAGAGCATCTCTAGCTGAGTTGTTATATTATGATCTTTAGTTATTTTGGCTAGAATGAGGGCAAAATGCAGCTCCAACAAACTTGCTATCTAACTCTCTATTTTAGAGAACTCCCTATTTGAGTTTGGTGGCTCTCTATGTTTAGAGCACTTCCAACGACAAGGCTTGCTCATGCAAAATGCCCCCTGGCCTCTCAAAACCCATCCTAGGGTGCAATCCAGCCTTGGTAGGAGATAGGCCCCTATCAAGCCCAAGGGCAAGACTTGCATGGATTGCTGCTTGGGCAAGTTGACCTCATGCCGATGTCAGTGTGACATCAACAGCCAATTTAAATACAAAAAAAAAAGTATTTGAAAAAAACCAATAATTTTTTAATTTTTTTTATATATAAATACCTACCCATGTTCTTCACTTCACACACTAAAACTCCATACTAATTCCCCTCCTCACATCTCAAGTGAATAGTGTTTGTCCTTGGATTGCCATGGCAATGGGAGGAAATGCATCAAAAAATTTGCTATGGCAGACACTATTCACATGAATAGTAACTATCGTTGCCTCCCCTTACCTTTTGCCATGGAAAATGGGGGAAGTGCTCTTAGAGAGATGAGGAGAGAGAAATTAAGGGTTCTCCATTTCTTCATTTTCTCTCTCCCTAAGTCCACAACCCTTTCTCACCTTTTATTTTTTTAATGAACTTTTAATTTAGTTGGAGGAGAGAGAAATAATAAAATATTAGAGATTAGCCAAAATAGAGAACATTGTTGGAGGAAATATTTTTTTAAGTAGTTTGCTATAATAGCTTTCTAGTCATTTTAGTTAAAATTTGGCTAAAATTTAAAGACAGTCTTGGAGATGCTCCAAGGCATGGTCACGGCCACATGTCTAATTCAAATTGGCCTTCAATTCAATCAATGATCATTTACTCCATCACGGGGTGGTCCCTGTGTTTTCTTTAGTTATTTTTTTAAAATAATTTAACCTTTCTTAATAATAGATTTGTTTGCTTATTGCCGATGAATCTAGTTCGTAGAAAATGACCTTCATTTGTAGATGCGTAGTCTTAGGTTTAAACCTCATGGCATTAGTAATGAATTTTTAATAAAGTGGCACGATTAAAATAAAAATCAAACATATCAAAACAGAGAAAAATCAAGTAGAGAATCCGGATCTGTATGAGAAATCTCCCCTCTCCCTTCTTAATTTTGGAAAAAAATGAAGATTTGTTTGTTTATTTATTTTTGCAACAGATAGATTTGTTGTTCTTCTTCTTTTTATGGTATTGACCTGTCAAGCAGACAATTGCCATTCCCGAAAATCACGCGCAGTATATGGAAGGAGTGAGTAACCATCTCAGGCAGTACTACATGAAGGTCCAATTATTTATGTCGGCCGGTCTCAATCATACAAAATCAGAAAATCTTCTTCTTCCATTTTTTTCTTCTAAGGTACTTCCAGAACTTAAAGAATAAGATTGTTCTTCCATACACACACTGTAGATAGGACAATTTGATTAAGTTACTGACCCCAGATTCAAAGAAAATAAAAATGGCAAAAAAATAGTTACTCAGATATTTTCAGATCATAACACTTTGGTAACATATCTAAAAAAATCATATATAATGAGGAGCCACTAAATCATTACTAGGAAAATATTATTTATTCATTTTATTTTTGTTGGAAAATATTCCAAATTCAAAGCTATGCTCATATATATACAATCT